GCTCCATGAATGCCGCTTGCATTCCAACCTGCAAAACGGCCTTACTTGTCGTATTATGGCGGTCTTAGGTCTCGATGCGCTTGGTAAAAGTTGTTTTACCCGGGCCATTTTTCGCAAATGTTCTTCTTCGGAGATGTAGAAAATATGAGAATAAGCAGCACCAAATTAGACGGTCTCCGTTACAGCTGGAAGTCGATGGTGTGGATGGGGGGGGCCTCGAACAGGTGAGTTAAAGTGTGTGTTTTGATCTTTCCAGACAATCCTGATTCCAGTTCACCAGCCTCAGAAGAAAGAAGGCTTGGCTGGCTAAGGCGGAACCCTATGCGAGGTTCGATCCTCAACGGTTTATTATGCATACAGTAATAACAAACAGACTTCTGAAAAAAGTTGGACATATAGCAATAAATGTCCCAACAGATGTATTGACTGTGAGTATCCGAAGAGTTTTGTAGATAAAGTGCATTTTTGAAGCACTAAAACGTATATGTCGTACCAGCCTGATGTTCCTAGGCATAATCGTTACTCGACGAGCGTGGATCGCCGCGAGGTTCGTATCCTCGAAAAGACATGCGAGATGTACCTCTGCTGCCTTTTGAAGAGACAGCAGGGCGTTAGACTGCTACCTCAGATCTTCTTCTATACCTCTGGCCTGCGCTATTTTATTCGCAGCCCGTGGTTCTTTGTAAATGTCGTATTTCTTGCATGCCTTCACTCCGGGCCTTTTGCGATTCACAGCTTTTATTGTGGCAGGTTCCTTATCGAACGGGTCGCTCCATGAATGCCGCTTGCATTCCAACCTGCAAAACGGCCTTACTTGTCGTATTATGGCGGTCTTAGGTCTCGATGCGCTTGGTAAAAGTTGTTTTACCCGAGCCATTTTATGCATACAGTAATAATAATCAGACTTCTAGAAAAAGTTGGACATATAGCAATAAATGTCCCAACAGATGTATTGACTGTGAGTATCCGAAGAGTTTTGTAGATAAAGTGCATTTTTGAAGCACTAAAACGTATATGTCGTACCAGCCTGATGTTCCTAGGCATAATCGTTACTCGACGAGCGTGGATCGCCGCGAGGTTCGTATCCTCGAAAAGACATGCGAGATGTACCTCTGCTGCCTTTTGAAGAGACAGCAGGGCGTTAGACTGCTACCTCAGATCTTCTTCTATACCTCTGGCCTGCGCTATTTTATTCGCAGCCCGTGGTTCTTTGTAAATGTCGTATTTCTTGCATGCCTTCACTCCGGGCCTTTTGCGATTCACAGCTTTTATTGTGGCAGGTTCCTTATCGAACGGGTCGCTCCATGAATGCC